TGCGGACTCGCGACGCTCGTAATTACGCGCCGTTTCGTGCGAATTATAAAAATGTATAAATCTCGATTGCGCATCGGGATGCACGGTCTAATTATAACGAGCGCGAAAAATCGTTCGATGGCCGGCGGCGCGCTCGATTCTGTATGCGAAATCAGGTCGAATACGCGCGGAATTCGCTGTAGATCCGAAATCTACCGCAGTACGGCTGCCAGATCGTAGCTTCTGGGAGCGAGTCCGTATTCCAGATATCTAACCGTGTACACACGTACATAAATACATATGTACGTACACGGTTCTCCGGTGTAGAATCGAGCTGCTGCCACAGGGATGCATCGTGACTCCCGCGGGCCCTAGCAGAGAACCTTTTCGCGGTTCTCCTGCCTTCTTTTATCGCTAAAATTATCGTTCTTCGTAATATAATCCCAAAAATGTCTCGCGATCCGGAAATGGCGGGTTCCTCGGGTCGTTCGAAGCAACTTTTTCCTTTAGAAAAATGTTCTCCGAGGCACCGTTAACGAGTTATCAACGGAAAACCGTGACCAATGAGAGGCGAGCTCGACTGGCGCGAGGCGACCGAGCCAATGGGCGGGACTAGGCTTCGCGCGCTGGTAGGCTGGCCCGCCTCGCGTCGACCGTACTCGATTCTTATTGGCGCACTGTTTTTCGTCGATAACTCGTTAACGGTGTCTCGGAGAACATTTTTGTACAGGAAGAAGTTGCTTCGAACGATCCGAGGAACCCGCCATTTCCGGATTGCGAGACATTTTTGGGACACTCTGTGGACGCGATCGTCGAGGCTCGAGCTGCAATAGAAATAGTCCGGTCCGCCGCCGCCGCCGGCGTTTTCCATTTTACGACTTGCATGGTCGCAAACGCGACACCACCCTAGTCTCGCGACTGCCTCCGGACTCCGGCCGGCGAACCGATAATAACTTGTACAAATTTGAACGGATCGTCCTAGAAAAAAAAATGTACGCCGACGATGCGGCAAGCTCGCGCGAATACGGACGCGAAGATCTGGCTCGCCGCGACCGGTGCTCGTCTCGAAAGTGATTTCCGAACGGCGGGGAGTTCGGTCGTTGGTCCGGCCGCAGTTTCCAGCGAGCCACGGACAGGAATCGTTCCGTTAGCGGTTAACCGTCGCCCTCTTCGATCTTCTCGCAACAGTTCTCCGTTGTCGAGAGGGGGTCGGGGACCTCGTGTCCACCTCCCATTTGGTGCGTGAACTTGCACCAGTTGCGCACGGAGTGCAGCTCCTCTGCTCCGGCTCCGGCTCCGGCTCCGGCACTCCGGCCAGTCAGTCAGTCAGTCAGTTGCGCTCGGATCGTTTCCGTGGTCGCTTCTCGTGTTTTCTTTTCTTCTGGACATGATCGGTCTGCGCAATTATCCGTCTTCCCGTTGAGCGATCATGTGGCCGACGATTCGATCGTTCGCGTGAAATCTGTGTGTGCGTATGTGTGTGTGATTCCTGGACGCCGCGCTCTCCATCTTGATGCACGAGGATGCAGGTCGACGCGAATCACGAGGTGTTTAAGCTTTTTCTACACCGTTCCCTCCGTATCGTCGTTCGACGACGGTTGTGCAAAGTGGTCGTAAATTTTTATACGACTGTAACTGTTCCGTAGTTCGGCTGGCCGTCGATTTCAACGATTTGCAGTCGGTCGTAAGGTGTCGCGCGACTTTTCATCATCGTCGCGAAGAAAGTGCAGAGAAACGTATCCGCCGTGTCGGTGGAATAGATCTTGTATCGGCTTTCAGGCTAATATTACGCGTACAGCAATGTCTCCCTAATCGACGTTCGGATTGTCCACAAAAATGGATAATTCGGGAAGGGGAGCTTTGCGACTTGTTTTTATAGTTACCGATTGTCAACGATTATAAAACATGGCGCGAAGACGGAATAATCGTATCTTCTGTTCCCAAATTGTCCATTTTTCTGCACAATCTAAGCGTCAGTTGGGGAGACATTACTGTACATACGTAGAGTAATGTTTCTCTAATTGACGCTCGGCTTGTCCACAGAAATGGACAATTCGGGGAGAGGAGAAACGATTATTCGAACCTTGCGGTTCGTTTCCGTAGTTACGAATTGTCGAGAACTATAAAAACGAGCTGCGAGGCTCGAATAATCGTCCCTCTTCCCAAATTGTCCAATTTTTGTGCGTCAGTTAGGGAGACATTCTGAGCGTCGATTAGAGACACATTATTACTGTATATCGAAATTATGTCCGGCCGCATCGAACGCGCAGCAAAGAACCCGCTCTCCCGTCTCCATCGAATCAACGTTAATTGCCGTCCCCCCGCGAGCGCGTTGCGTAACAATTAACGACCGGGAGTCGTTCAGAGAGATTGAAACGTCGGGAGTGAACAATTTCGCGCTGCGTTGTTTCCGTCGATCGCGTTTACGTAAGCTGGCGGGACGATAACAGGACGACGATGCTTGGCCGTGTACGGTTAGAGTGTTCGTCGCGTCGGACCGGAGATCCTTAAACGAATTAGACCGCGCCGGGACGCCTTTCAAGTGCCGGCTGCCCGATCTGACGACACCGGGAACACCGAACGCGTCGCGCACTCTCGTTGCACTCGTTGCACTCGGATACGTCCGAGTCTCGCCGCCTTTCTCGGACCCGGCGTTAGCGCTCCGCGACCAGAAAGACGCACACCTGTTGCTCGCCGTCGGCCTTTCGTTCTTTCCGACACCGTATCGCGTCGGTCGGTCGCGCTTTTCCATCGGCTGGCGGATTCGACGCATCCGTCGTTTAGGGGTCCGCCGAAGCACCTGAAAACGAAATCGTGCGTCAAATTCGCGTTGGACCGGTTTGAAAGAGGAGGCTTCGATCTTCGAGATCGCGGTGGTTTCGCTCGCGAGAAAAATTCTGCACGTCGGTCGTAAACGGTGCATCCGTTTCGCGCTAATCCGGCGGTGCACGCGGAGCTTGCGACGCCGCGGCTCGCGTTAATTACCGTGAGGGGGGCTAACGAGCCCCGCGATAATTTACCTGCGTTGAATTACCACGTGTACATAGATCGATAATCGGAACGGGCGGCCCCGTTGATTCGCCGGTTACGTAACGCGTGTTGCAAAACGAGCGAGATCGCGACGCATGCATGTTAGGAAGCTATGCGCCGTCGGGGACCGGTTGGCCGTCGCCGAGCCGAGCCAAGGCACGCGCTATCGTAAACACATAAAAATACTTGCTCTTGACAATGGAGCACGAGCGTGTCGCGCTCCCGCTAGGGAAGCTATCCGAACGGAATCTTTCCCTGCACTTTGATCCGAACCGCGACCTACCCTTGATCGAAACGATATCGATTTCTGAAAGTTGCTCGTTGTTTCCGTCTGGTCGAATAGGACGAAGAAGTCGAGCGGTTTTTGAGACGACGAGTCGATCGCAGTAATGTCTCCCTAACTGGTGCTCGGATTGTGCAGAAGAATGGACAATTTGGGAAGAGAAGATGCAATTGTTTAGAGCATCGCACCTCGCTTATTATAGTTACCGTATCTGCTCCTCCCAAATTGTCCATGACCTGAGCGTCAGTAAGGGAGACATTACTGTACAGTAACGTCTCTCCAACCGACGCTCGGATCGTCCACGAAAATGGACAATTTTGGAAAAGGAGACGCGATCGTTCGAGCCTCGTGGCTCGTTTTTTATGCTTATCGATTGTCAACAACCATAAAAACGAGGCGCAAGACTCGAACAATCGTGTCTCTTCTTCCGAAATTGTCGATTTTTCTGCAGAATCCGAGCGTCAGTTAGGGAGACATTGCTGTATGTAGTTGGGGGCTGCCCAGTGGCCTAAATATGTACAGCTCGAGACACGTTTAGGTAGAGGGAGCCGAGCAGAAATCGTCGTAGCAGCGTAGCCCTCTGGGAATCGTCAGTCTGGTGGTGACTTTCGCACGCGAGGGACCGAATTCGATTCCTTCGACTCCTTTGATTCCGTAGTTCGCCGACGGTTGCGTACCGTGCGTTGGCCGCATTCTACAACCGCATTCCAGCTTGCTCTGAGCCATCTGCCGACCTTTTTCTGCGCTCTAGTGACTGTGACCCATTATTCGGCGCACGCGACCCCTGTCAGCATGCTGGTTTCCGGCAGCACGTGACCGTTTCTCCTGCTGGAAGTGCACTCGCAACCGTGTTCTCTCTCTCTCTCTCTCTCTCTCTCTCTCTTTTTCTCTCTCTTTGTCTGTCTGTCTCTCCGCATTCCTTTTCTCGGCCTTCCCGACGGCACAGCGATGCCATTCTTCTGGCTGTCCGGGGTACGTTTCTGGACCACCCATACAGCTGTTGCGAAACTACCGAGCACCGAAAACGATCGGCGATCAACGCGCTGCTGTAAAACGTGCATGCAGCATCCGTAGAATCTTTTTTGTCCAGTGAACCATTTGAGACAACGGGCAAACGAACTATTTGGGGGGATTTACATGCTTTATACACGCTGCATGCTTCCAGCAGCGAGAAAAACATTTTCGTTCGGTCAGATTCGTTTGCCTATCGTTTCTCGGACGACGCGCAATCGGAAGACCTCCTGATTTTTGGCCGCCGTTCTCTCTCGAGCCAGCTCTTCGCGATAGATAAGATTGTTTTTCACGGTGCGCTGACGTGTTCTAACTGGCAGAAATCTTATTTTGAGATGCGGCTCTATCCGCCTCTCTCGCCCTCTCTCCCCTGCCATTCTCGTATTATTTTCTGCATCAAGTTCTCGAACGTCGAGCGACCGTGAACAACTCTCTCTCTCTCTCTCTCTCTCTCTCTCTCTCTCTCTCTCTCTCTCTCTCTCTCTGTGTGTGTGTGTATAACAGAGAATGGCCACGTGACAGCCACGTGACGCTCTGTCATACTTCGTCCGTCCGAGGAAGCCTCGATTCCGGCCTGAATCGTACGCGCGATACTGTTCGAATCGGGGAACAATCGCGTCGAATGGCATTGAAAATAATAGCGGAGAATACGCGCGGGCTAAACGCGAGTACAGTAATGTCTCTCTAATCGACGCTCTCGGATTGTCCAGAGAAATGGACAATTTGAGATTTTGTCGACAACAGCTTTATAATTGTGGACAATTTATAACTATAAAAATAAACCGCGAGGCTCGAACAATCGTATCTCCTCTTCCCAAATTGTCCATTTTTTGTGCGCAATCCGGCCGTCAATTGGAGAGACATTGCTGTAACTCGTTCACAGATCGGGCTCGAGCCAATTTTACTTCGAGTTCGCAGCCGCTTCGAAACTTGCAAAAGGTTGTTGCAATCGATTATTTGCTCGTTTCAAAGGGCAAACGCTCTGTTTTCCCGGCTTATCGAACATCGTGCTCGCAAAGAATATCGCCTTCTTTCGCGGGACGAACGAAAGAAGTCGAAGCCGTCGTTTGTTCTCCCTCGTTCTCAGAATCGATCGTCGAGTTCCAATGCCTGCAAAAGAATTCTCGCAGCTCTCGGCGCGTGCTCGTTTCAAGCCTCGCGCTTTCTAATCCTTTGCACTCGCTCTTCTCAAAGACCGCATTTCATTGGAAAACGATGAGCGAAGTTGCTTGTCCCGCGGTGCTCGAATCAATTAACTTCTGACTCTCGATCGGAAATCTCTCTCTCTCTCTCTCTCTCTCTCTCTCTCTCGAGGCTGCGGGAAGCCGCTTAACCCTTTCGCTACGGCAGCTACATCCGCCGAAGTACCGTCACCGAACGGAAACTCGCTCCAGAAATATGCACGGTGCGCGTGGTTTCTGTGTACATGTTGCTCCAAGTCTTAAATAATAACTGTGCCGAGTAAAACAATCGTTGCTCCAATGTAACAAGTATATTTACATTTTTAATTGAAAAAGACTTACAGAATTATAGGTAACATAGGTATTTATACGATTACAAAGCCTAACGATTAAACGTTTAATATAATTGCTAACGAGACGAAAATTATTAAAATATAATAATATGTAAAAACTAATGATACAATTCTAATGATATATATTTGAAAGCAATGATCTGTACAAAGGCCAACGTCGCAATCTTTGCACTCGTACCGCGAATCCGTTCTTTTATCATTTTTGCTACAAATTACACATCCGCGTCTTCTGTGTACGCCTCGTTTCGATGTCGCGTATATGCGGCGCTCGGTGCGAAAGGGTTAACAAGCGGCGAGCGACCGTATCAACGAGCGTGTCAAACGGTTCGGGACCTTTCGGTGTCGAGCATCAACATTCGATTAAACCCGTTGCCGTTGAACCTTGGACCTTGAACCTTGAACCGTGCGTCGCGCACCCTCGACACCGAATCGAGGGGAAAAGTAGTTCCGACGGAGCCGCTGCAATTTCGCGGATCTTCGGGCCAATTGCAACCTTTCCCGATAGCCTGGAGTACTCGAATAGAACACGTTCCTCGGTTAGATAACGATCGGAGCGTCGCGTAATTCTGCCAGCAGATCTCGATATCCTGTTATCGCGGCGGCGGCGGCGGCGGCGGCGGCGGCGGCCGAACTTTCTTTATCGCTTTATTACACAACACCGTCGTTCGTCCTTGAGCGGCTGAACCTGCGGCTCTCGTCGAAAGAAAATCTTAAAAGTGTGCCGGCATGTTCGTGCAAACGTATCGCGCTTCTAAGTATAGACCGAGTACAATCGCCGTCTACGATCAACGGAATTCGAGCATTTTTTAAAAGGAGTAAATAAACCCAGCGATTCAACGAACGACCACGACGGTCAGGTCGTTCTGCCCGGTTTCACGTTTCTTACAATGTTTTCAGATCGTAGACGTGTTGCGAACACTCTTTTATCGGAATCGATCGATTGGATCTTCTAAGTTACACGCGTCGAAAAAAAAATAGAGAAAAAAGATTGATGGAACGACTACGGGAATCCAGTCTTGTCGTTCTTATAGAAGAGCAAACGTCGATCGCTTTTTGTGCTCGGTAGGTTTAGTTCTTGTGAAAGTTACAAGAACTTGCGTAGAACGATTCTACAGAGTCTCTAAAAAGAAAACCGACGATAAGATCTTCGGAGCATTTCTATAAAAAGAATTCCGAACATGTTAAAGAGACTGTGTAATTCGTCCGGCGGCATGTTCGCCAGCAACGTCTTTGAACAGAAGCGCAATCTCGCGAGCGAATTGCAGCCTTTTTCGCTATCGGCCTCGCGATAACGCGTTATCGCAGATAACCCGTCCACGGTTCATAGGGATTCGTGAAAATAGCGCGAGCTATAAATCGTCGTTTTACGAGGTCACCCGGAAAAACGGCATGGATTATAGACGATGCCGGTGGACGTTGCAGCCCGGAGAGGCTTCGTTTTAATTTCCAATCTGCTTTTCGCCCGAGCTGCTTCGTCCGGGTGACGAGGGCCGTGGACGACGAACAGAAAGCCGAAGCGGGGGGAAAGGAATTTTTCTGATCGTTATCGCTTTTGGTTCCAGGGTTCCGGATATCTAAAGCGTGCGCACACTGAACGCCTCCATGAAATCTTCAATCAGGTGAGAAACCAGACTTGCACGTTACTTCTTGTTGTTTTATCTCTTTGTCTCGCTCCGATCGATCGGTTGATAACGAAGCTTTCCTTTCTTTTTCTCGGCGAATCGTAGTACGCATCGCAGGAGAAGAATGGCGAGCGGTTCATGACCCCGTCCGACTTCGTGCGAAGCTACCTTGGCCTCTACACTGACCCAGACTACAACCCTGACTCTGTCAATCTGCTCGCCGGTATCGTCGACACCAGCAAAGATGGGTCAGTCTCGCGAGAACGCCGTCTTCCTCCTAGATAGCACCGTCTTGACCCCGACGCCTGTTCAGGGGTGGTTGAATCTCACTGGAAACGAATGAAACTCGTTAAAGTCCTCGATGCGTAGATCGAATTCAACCCTTGGCGCTCCACGCGTTTCTCGAGTACAGTAATGTCTCCCTTACCGACGCTCGGATTGTCCACAAAAATGGACAATTTGGGCCTTGCGGCTCGTTTTTATAATTGTTGACAATTTATAACTATAAAAAGAAACCGCAACGCTTCTCCTCTTCCCAAATTGTTCATTTTTGTGGACAATCTGGGCGTCAATTAGAGAGACATTGCCGTACTACCTACCAGCAACTCTGGCAGATTTTTGGAGCAAAGCGCGCCTGAGACAAGGAAAGTCTTATTTCGAGCGGGAAAGATTACGCGTCCTTGCGAAAGCGTTCGATTCTATTCATTTTATGTTGCTAAGTATAAAAATGGGCAAAAAATGTCTTAATCGTAATGGTACGTGTTCGCTACAAATAACAATTGCCAACGTCGACGAAAACATAGCATCTTCGGTGTAATCACGCTAAAATCATTGGGCTCCGCAGCAGAGCCTTCGGATTTACGGAACAAACGACGGATATCTCCATAGCGGAGCGAACTTAGCGTTAAGGGTTGTGTGAGCCATGCAGCATGTAACAATTAGGAGACCAATGCGAGAGAGCGCTCAAAGTTTGACCGGTACTTGGATAATTGGTATCGCCACAATTTTGCTTTCCCGTGAGACGAAATTGCTGGTCCAAACGTAGCCTGCTCTTTCCCGCATATTCTAACTTGTCCGAAACAAACGGTTACAGGCTCATATCGTTCGCCGAGTTTCAAGCGTTCGAGGGGCTGCTCTGCGTGCCGGACGCTCTCTACAAGACAGCGTTCCAGCTGTTCGACACTAATGGAAATGGAATGGTTGCGTTTGGTAAGTCGAACGTGGTGAACACGGGGACCGTGTACCAAGAGTTTAGACGTCTGATCGCGATGCTGATTTGCAGAGGAGTTCGCTGAGGTGATGCGCAAGACGGAGTTGCATCAGCGGATGCCGTTCAACATGGACAGCAGCTTCATCAAACTCTATTTCGGAAAGGATAAACAGAGGTTGATCAGTTACGCGGAGTTCAGTCAGTTTTTACACGTGCGTGCACATAAACGTTATCTTCTCCGTGACCTTCCGACATCGTTTCTCATTTGCTTCTTGGCTTCAGGACTTTCACGAAGAGTACGCGATAGAGGGTTTCAAGAAGTTCGATAAGGATGGGCAAGGTTTTATCTCGGCACTGGACTTCCAAGATATCATGCTCAGCATCAAGAGTCATCTGCTGACACCCAACGTCAGGGATAACTTGGTCGCTGTAAGCCGAGCCCTTTTATTTCCAAGCTTGATTCGCACAGTCGCGCATGTGGAATGTCGGATCTTTTCGTAATGCCCACTGAAACTGTACAAGCTCATTGGTAGTACACAAGTAACAGCTCAACAGAGTGGAAAAGATCCAACGGTTTACATTCACCGATTTATCGATAGCTTCTGATAAACATTAAGTATGCAACTTGATCGAATTACAGGCTGCGAGTATCGGACAATCGGGAAGGAAAATCAGCTTTCCTTATTTCATGGCGTTCAACTCTCTCTTGAATAACATGGAGCTGATAAAACGTATCTACCTGAACGCGACCAACGGCCACCGATACGAAGAAGTTACCAAAGGTATTATATTCTTCGTTTCCCCTGCGTACACAAATAGAAGCGCGTCTAGAAAAGAAACGAATACCCTGTGTAATCGCTTTCAGAGAGGTTTCTCCATTCCGCGCAAATGATGTCGCAGATCACCCCGCTGGAGGTGGACATTCTGTTTCAGCTTTGCGACCTGCTTCATCAGACTGGGTGAGTATCTCCGATCTCGAGAGCAAACTGATTAGTCTCTTCAGCGTCGATCGTAGGGCATGAGCCGCAAGCAGGGATCTAAAAGAGAAAAAAGAGCGGCGGTAGCCGAGAACGAAACGCGATAGACTAAGTTCCTCGCTGATCTGGTCAACGAAAAGCAATAAACAACAAACAGTATAACGAGCGAAAGTAACGAAAACCCAAAACGCAAACGAGAAAAGACAAAAGGCAAAAACTGAAAAATAAAAAAAACTATAGCCACCCCGTGATAATGCTATCCGTTGTACCAGCAAGCGCATCGTCATCATCCAAAACGTGCTCGAAACGTGTCTCCTGAGTCGTTCCTTGGCAATAGAAAGGAAGACGAAGAACAACGATATCCCTATCGAGCGAAACGAATCGAACCAAACCAATCCAAAAACCAGTCATTTTCTAAATCGCCCTCTCAGCAAAGATTTTTAATTACTATTTCCGACAATCTGTTCGGTGTGCGACGATCGTGACTCCTATAATTCAATGTATTTGTTTACGTGTTTACGCTGCCTGGATACGATCAGATCTACGGAAGATGACGAGGCAGACTCGCGGCTTGGGTGCGTCTTTGTATATTCAAGAATAATCACGTGCTATAAGTCCGTTTTCTAAGAAGCATATAATGTTGTTGGCCACGCGCGAAAGCAACGGGAATCTGAAAGCACGCGCCAAACGAGTCTCGAAAGAGTTGTCCGAGAGATCGCTGGCTTTCGGAGACTTGATATTCCCATTCCTTTTGCCATACGAATTTTTACCTCTATACATACGTACGTATATGTATAATGATTCACGGAGTGTCTCAACCAAGTCGGCTACCTCGAATACGATCCTCGTGTTTCTCTTGAGATGCTTGAGTTAGGTGGGACATTTCTGTGCACATTTATATATGTACAGGGTGCAGCATGTAACCGGAACCCGCTTCGATCGCTAACGAAGATCTTACTCGTGGAAAATGTTCCGGATAAGCGTTGAACAGGTTCAGAAGTAAGACGTAAACGCGCGGAGGACATTTTTAAGGGTCGAGCGTGGTTTTCTTTTTTAAATCGAGTCATACGTCTCCTGTCGCATCGGTGCAGTGTTGAACATGTGATTCCATTTGAAACTAATCTCGATCGTCTCGAACACGTCCCCCTGCACGACTCTTGGCTGAAAGATTCTCCACCGGGATCGTTGCACGAAGCGGTTGCGGTTGCATGCTGCATTCTACAGCAAATGTATACACCATATTTGTCTCACCTATTTTCTTCAGCATATCTATCTTAGGACGATGGTATTTGCAAACATTTGCACACCGTGGGCACTAACGATTCCATTCTATATGTATACTCTATTTCCCCCGCCTCTGCTCTCCCTAGCACTCCCGCAACGCAGATATCGAACCCACTTTGTTGCCACGTCAGACTTTAAGGATCCGTTTGAGGAGCTCCGTTTGCCAGGATTCTTAGTATTCGCTCGAAACAGTGCTATCGACTATAATGATCATCCTAGACATATACACGTACCATTTCCCGGTTCTCGAAGGGGGACAAACATAAAGGGAATTATAATGATAACGATCTGTTCACACACCCCTCTTATCTTTTTCTTTTTCTCTATCTATTTCTCTCTCTATCTCTATTTCTTTTCTTCCTCTATTCCCCCCCCCCCCCCC